CCCCAGATGCTTCAGGCTTCCACACTCCTCAGGATTTATCCCTTTTGCTACACTTCCTGTGCCTAGTGTTGCAGTGGGAAGAGGGTCATGAGCCTTGGGGTCCGATGCATGAGGCTGGGTTATCTCTGGGCCGTGCCCCTGCTTCTGAGACTCCCTGATTTGATTTTTGTCCCGCTTTGTACTTGCAGCTCACCCCAGTCTTCCCCGACCCCCAGGGGCTGAGCGGGTGACTGGCTGGGACAATTTGGCAACATCAGTATTAAGTATTGGAACAGGAGACGAATTCCAAATTGGTAGAAAGCTTACTGCTCTGGGAGAAAAGGGCTGCCTCAGTTTCTCATCCTCAGTTTCTCATCAACACTCAGTTAAAGGAACAAATGAATGGTCCCTCTGAGTTCTGCTTCAGTCCCCTGTAAGTCACAGCCTTTGAGGTATAGATGGGAGGAGACAAAGGCTCTTCAGTTGGCCCCTCATTGATGACACTGCCAGCTCTAAAATGAGAACCAATAGAGTGGTCGGAAATTGGAAATAAATTACAGCAAGTAAGGAATGAACTAATGGGTCCAGGTCTGGTCATTTCAGCATATTTTCTTAAATAATCTATCCTTTCCTCACCAAAACAATAAATTCACTAATTCATCTTATATATTTGACCTATGTGGTAGTTAGTCTCACCTCATTATTCTAAACTGCTCTTCAACTACAATTCAAGTTATCTTGTATCTTTTCTCACATCTTCTAGTTCCTGTTTCATCCCTATTTGCACCAGAGTTTACCTTTTATCTTAGTCTGATTTTTTGTTTCATAAAAGCCAAGCTTTCTTATGTCTCACTGAGAACAAAACAGATGTTTTCTAAAATTTTTTCCCATTAATCTAGTAAATTATTTTGAGTTGGGCTTTTCCTCCACATGTAAGTAATGCTTCTACTGTATTCTTTTTTGTTATAGAAAATTTTCCCAAGTCCCGTGTGTGTGTGTCCATGACTTTATACATCCTTGAGTGGGCTTATGTATATTTCATGTGGTATTTATTAGTAATTCTTTAATTCAATAAATACTATTTTTTTTAAAAAAATTTGATGTTTGTTTATCCTATGGTGGGCAAGGTGTTTAAAAAACAAAATTACATAAAAAAAGGATTTGTCTTTGCTCTGGCCCATGTGGTTCAGTTGGTTGGGCGTTTTCCAACGGCACATACCTAGGTTGCAGGTTTAACCCCGGTCAGGATGTATGCGGCAGGCAACTGATCAATGTTTCTTGCTCACATTGATGTGTCTCTTTCTCTCTCACTCACCCTCTCCTTTCCCCTCTCTCTAGAATCAATAAACATATTCCTGGGTGAATGTTTTTAAAAAATATATATTTTATTGATTTTTTTACAGAGGGGAAGGGAGAAGGATAGAGTTAGAAACATCAATGGGAGAGAAACATCAATCAGCAACCAAGGTACATGCTCTTGACTGGTGTCGAACCTGGGACCCTTCAGTCCGCAGGCCGACGCTCTATCCACTGAGCCAACCCTGTCAGGGCATGGGTGAATATTTTTTTAAAAAGAATTTGTCTTGAAAAAACCTCATGCAAGGTAGAAGACCAAGTAGGAGACATGAGCAGATTCCATTATTTCCACCTGTGGCTTTTTCATAGATGATACAGGTACACATGATGCCGAGATAGGAGGCCTGACTCTGTGCACAGCTCAGTGTTCTTCTAAGTTGGCAGCCATTAGAAGTTAAGAGCACTGAGGATATTTCCAATTTATATTAACATTTGCTTTCTCTGGAAATGTGTAAAAATACTAGCAAACACTAATGTGCCAATGTTTCTATGATGCTATAAATTAATGAGTGTAATACATTTTACATTCTGTTACATAATTTATTTTAAGTGACAGCATTCCATTATACTATAAATCACTCAGCTATTTCAAAGAAGAACAAAAATGTTATAAAATGTTAGTGAAAAATAAAGATTTTTTTGCATAGAATAATATCCCAAATGTTTATTTTCCAGTGATGAAAATATTGAACAGTCCATCCTTATTTTATACCGGCCGAGATACATTAATCAATTGCCTTGATTATATCTTTCTGTGAAAAGACATTTTGACAAAATACTATGGGGAACTTGTTTTTTAAAATTTGTTTAATCTTTAAAATAGAGATTTTAAAACATTATTATCATTTTGACATTAAAAAACACAGGCTATGACCAAGAATAGTTTTAATCTTGCCTAATTAAGATATGATTGAAAATAGAAAAGTAACTTCTAGATACCCCAGACAGACGCTGTAACAGCGGCAAAGAGCCACTAGGTGGCTCTGTCATTTTTAAATAAAACTGAAGACCGAAAAAGATAATGTATAGTTAAGGAACAAATACTGTACAGTATCTCTAGTAGGCAAAACCTTTAATCAAAGCAAGAAACAAAAATCTGCAATTATGGCCTCTCAGAATAATTTGGAGCTATTCAATTGAGAATTAGACTTAAAAATAACCCTACAAAACTGCAAAGTGTGTATGGGTAAGCAATTTGCTAAAAAATAAGGGAAGGTATATTCTTAAGGACACTAATTACTAAAGGGAAGGTTGTTCCAAATTTTTCCTAATTTATTGCCATCTAAGTTCCCAGCTTTTGTAGTTGTTGTTGTTAATCCTCACCTGAGGACATTTTTTCTATTGATTTTCAGAGAGCGTGGAAGGTAAAGGGAGAGACAGAGGGAGGGAAACATCTGTGTGTCTCATAGATTGGCAAGTGTGCCGCCAAGGTATGTGTCCTTGACTGGAATTGAACCCACGGACCTTTAGTCCGCAGGCTGACATTCTAGCCACTGAGCCAAACTGGCCAGGGTCCCAGCTTTTCTTTTGGACTTTCTCTATTTAGTTTAGACTGTTACCTTCAAGAAAAAATAAAAGTTAAACTTGGGCATTATATCTCATTAAAAATTACTTTCCAATTTCCTGGACTATCCTTGTCATCCTTATTAACACCCCAAGAGAATAACAGAACAAAACAACTTCATTTAGGGCTATATGGGGGGGGGGGGGGAGCCCATGCTTATCTAACTTAAGAAACATTTAGACCGTTAAATCAAAATACAATGAAGGCAATCACTATTCCACTCTATAGCATTTGTCAGGAGATTGAAAGAAATAGTGTGCTTTAAGAGTTGGCAAATAATTCCTTTCTGGTTCCAGAAAAGATGGGAAAATAGTTACATTGGAAGTGTGATTTGGGTCTCAGGTACCAAAATTTGCTAGTTAAGTAGTTCTAGATTTCATTTGCCCCCCTGAAGTTATCTGCAAAAGACGATCATTTTTCCCCAAGTACATAACTAATTTTCTCATGAAAATAAGTGCAAGCTGGGAGGTGTGTGGGTTCAGGATTAAGTACTCTGAGCTGCCAGTCTGCAACTGGCAAGTAGAGGAAAAAGGTTTCCTCTCCCCTCTTTCTTAAATGAGAATCTCAGACCTGTCTGAGATTAAGAACATATTTAGGGAGAGTTTTAATTTGTAAAAAAAAACCCCAACAATTTTCTTATTGTTGCTGGGAGCCAATAAATAATGATTTCGTGGCATGTGGTGTGGCTACAGGATTATACTGGTTTTGTTTGTTTTCCCAGGCGGGAACCGCATTTGAGAATTTACAGAAGTAGTTTGTAAAAGTACATTTTTACAAAAGTAACACGTAATTTGTGACCTCCTACCCCCTCCTTCTCCCCTTCTCCCTCCTCCTCCTCCCCTTCCTTCTTTTCTTCTTTTTAAAGAGCGCTTCTTGCACACAGTATAAATTAAACTTGGCTTTAAAATGCTAATTCCGAACCCACTTATTTAAATGTCTTTGAAACATTCACCCTTCTGCTTTTGAAGACAACTAATCACACGGAAGGAATGCACACAGCAGACATAAAAATGAACAAATACGGCCCGAATGTGAACGAACAAATAGTTATATGTTTAGAGAAATTAAATACCGATTTCAGTCCCTCTGATCAGAGGATGCCTGTTAATATGAACTGCTCTGTACTGTATCCCAAAGAGTTGTAAATCACATCCATTATGCTCAGCCGGTAGCGGGTCAGTTGAGACCAGACCTGAATCCTGCACCTCAATCACAAAAAGTGCAGAGGCTGGAGGTGGAAAAACCACAGGGAATTAGGCAGGTGGCTGAGCGGCCATCCAAAGTTAACGCACGGACTTAAGAGAAATATTTGTGCTCTTGGTTATCATCTCTTTGTTTTCATATTCGTTATTTTATTTCATGATTGTGCTAAGAATATATTAGCTAGGAAGGGGTCCTCTTCGTCTTACACCTGGAGTCGCCAGTCTCCCCCGGCCTCCCCGGCTGCGGGCTCCGGGCCCAGAGAGGAGGGGCTGCAAGGCGGAGCGCACTCTCTAACCACGCGGCAGGTGGGGCGGGCGGGGCGGGGCGGGGGAGGCGACCCGCCCGGGCCACCGCCCAACCGGCCCGCCCCGGCCCGGGG